ATGGTACTACCAAGTCATGAGATGTCCCAGTAATATCATTTGACCAGTGGCCCATTTATAAAATGGTTCCCATGGAACCAATGACCATCATTAAGTCACATCCCTTAACATCATGTTTTTCCAGAACCAATTAATGACTAGGCAGGAGAATGAATGGATATGGTAGTGTCCGTGTACCTTTCTATACCAAACCTCTGATATTTAAAATATTAACGCTAGTCTTAACCTTTTCAATGTGCACATTTCTGATGTGGCATGCTGTTATCTTCACTATCCCATCAGTCTTTTAGCCAAGCTATGCCAACTCTCCTCTCTCTCTCTCTCTCTCTCTCTCTCTCTCTCTCTCTCTCTCTCTCTCTCTCTCTCTCTCTCAATGAACTTTCTGAACTGAAGAAAGGCCTTTGAAGGCAATTGCTTGGTCACTAGTCGGTGAGGCTTAGAGAAGACTATGACAAAACTAAAACAGGCTAGCTTGCTACGGGGCCAGGAATCATACCTCGAGCCACCTCTGAGAGGCCAAGCAAGAGTACATGACAAAGGATCCCCCAGCTGTGAGTGACGGAGAAGCAGCAGAAAGGTCTTTCAACTCCCAAGCCAATGCTCTTGTTGTTCTGCTGCACTGACGAGGGTACAGAAGTTAAAGCACACAACTAGATGAGAAGGCAAGTTAGAGGTGATACTAATCTTAGGAAGCAAAAACAAAGAACATTAACCCTCATGAAGAACTATGGTCAATGCCAAGCATACAGAGTACGTGGGCTAGAGAGTTACACAAAACTCTGTTTGGTGGAATTTCCTGGGACTGGAACATTGTGAGGAAATCAGATGCCTTCCCATCTCAGCAGAAGGTTCACCTTCTGCAGGAAGCCTTTCCTCATCCTCCTCAATTTCAGTATCTTTCCTCTGAGACTGACTCTAATTTATGCCATCTACATCTTGAGAACCAGGACTGTCTCTGGCCTGTCTTTGTATTCCTAGTAATTCACATAGGGCCTAGACTTGGTTCAGATCTATCTGATTATCACAAGAGAGATGGTCCATGAACATCAAATTAAAGCTGTCCCACTGTTACCGGGAGCTGAGTTTTCTAAAATCTTTTCAGAAAGGGAAGACTATTATTTCTGTTGAGAATGTTCTTAGATTAGTTTAGTCACCTCATTTCTGAAACTTGTGAAAAGACTAACATATGAATAATAATAACAAGCCGTATCAAATGATATGTGAAATAGCATGACGATTTTTAATGACTGAAGGGAAGATAGGTGTGGACAAGGGGAGATGACTTTAGGTAGCACATCCCTGTATTCACAGAAGAATGTGAAGAGGACAGGGACCAAGGATCTCTGGCCCCATTCTTCAAGGCCCAGCTGGTCCAGATCCGGGCCACACACCCTCTCAATCCCAGGAAGCCCAACCTGGATCACCTGAAAGCTCTTTCCTCTCTGAACGCTACCATTCTTCACACCTCATTTGTGCCCATGGCTTTCCGACCTCACTAAGCTTCTCAAAGACCCACGGGCTCCGCTGTTGTTGGTTCTAGAAGGCCTGGCCTAGAGAGCACAAGCTTAGGCAGAGACCAGCACGTCAAAAGGGTCTGGAGCACGTCTGCAGTGACACAGACTGTCTGCTGCCCCAAACACTGACTTGTTTTTTATGACTCCTGAAGAAAAAGGAAAGAAGGCTCTTCTGAGGTCCACACACAATGCCTTGCACCTAATAAGAACTCACAATAACAGCTAAATTAATCATCACCCCCTATCACATAGGAAAGCCAATTATTTCTTGTGAGGACTTCTTCTTTACCCAGGCACTGATTCTGGCTAAAAAGCCACTCCATCCAGACCCTTTGACATAGATTCCAGCACTGGGGAGATGCCTCAAAGAGGTCACTAACAAAAAGGAAGCTTCCATATAAACCAAAATATTAACAGCAGCACTTCACGTGGAGCAAAGAACTGGAAACAAGGCAGAGGCCCTCCACCTGGGGAACAGCTGACATGTGGTGGTCCACGAATGGCCTGGAAGACAACCATTCTGAAGAAACAAGAAGCAAACAGATGGGATGGACAGCACAGAGAAGCCCGGGAAGGCTGCTGTGCGCTGACGGGGGCCAGAAAGCGTAGGCATGAGGGTGTACGTGAGCGTGCAGACCCCAACAATGCGAAGGAAAGAGCCATCGTGGAACTGAGCCTTGCCTGAGCCTGGTCCCTTCCTCCCCCCAGTCCTACACAGAGGTTCGGGATCCACGGGGGTGGAACGCTGCATGTAACGTCACATCTTTTTGAACTATTAACTGGTTTTGATGATTTTTTTTCTCTACCGTTTTTATCTTAAAAAGAATTCCTTGTTACACAGTATGGCTCTCTAAGAAGGGAAAGGAATGGTGTACAAAGAGAAATCCAGGTGTTGTAAAAACTACAGATATGAATAACAATCTTTTTAAAGTTCACATGCAAGTAGGACATGATGTTATCCTCTTTAGAAGATAAAATAAAAACCTTCTTTAATACACTAGGGAGGAGGAAGAGTTAAGAGAAGATTCTCCTCTCCCTCTCCCTCCTCCCCGTCTCTCTCTCTCTCCTCTTTGCAGATATCTTTTAGAACACTGCATATTAATATTAGCTTTCTCTGATGTACTATTAGCTTTGCTAAGCTTTTCTATCTTTTTTTGTCTTATCTTCTCAAAAAATTGTTTTTTATAAGGTATGGCCTTCTGCTTTGGGAAAGTGGACAGATACAGAAGAAATCTAGACAATGTGAAAACAAAAACAGCAATAAAAATCTACTTTTAAAAAATATTAAAGTCTTTTGACATCATAGTTTTGATGTGGTCTGTAATAATCTTTTAAAATTTGTTGTAAACAGGTCTGCTTATGTTCACAGGCAAATTATTTATATTCTGAATTTCCAACAACTACAAGTATGGCATCCCACAGCTACACAAAGCAAAAGTGTCCGGCCTAGGGTGAAAAGTAGAGGAAAGATTACTAATTCACTAGCTAACATTTATTTGGGAAGGTAAAAACTGAGATTTTCAATATTCAATCTGGATCTAATGTGTCTTAGCTACTTAGAATACGTATCTAGAACACAAACTCAGTAGAGTCGCAGGCTGCTGTGCTGATGGAGTGACCTCTGCCCCAACAGCAGAAATCCATGTACAAACTACAAGGGACTATACTATCCAGTGTAGCCTTCTAAAGCTGAAGACACATGTTATGGGAAAAAATGCTAAGAACACTACACGTGAAGCATACAAATCAGCATCACCATCAACAGTATCATTATCATCATCATCATTACTGTCATATCACCAACATCACTAACACCATCACTACCACCAGGACTGCCACTATCACCGACATCAACACCATCATCATCGCTATCGTCACAACCATCGCAATCATCATGATAATCACCAGCATCACCACTCGCATCATTATCACCATCAACACCATCATCGCCATTTTTATCACCACTATCATTAGCACCCTTACTGCCATCACTATTACTACCACCATAATCACCACTGTCATCATCATTACCATTATCACTGTCATTACCACCACCACCACAACCGACATGGCTGCCTCCTGAATAATTAGAAGAGTGGAAAACTAGAGGTTTGTACTCAGCAATGCTATCTGAAATATCCATTAGGGGGAGAAGGGGGTGGGGGGAACCACTAGGTATCCAATAACTGGAGAGTATCTATAATAAACTGTGATACAAGAATGTAAGAGAAAATTATTGCACCCTAAGAAGGAAGAAATATCAAGAGCACCAGAACTCCAAGGAGATTTCTGTGGAAGCATACAAAAGTCAAAACAGTAGAACCCAAAGTAGAACCCAACACAGTGCTTTAAATAATATCAGCAGAGGGAGACAGCATCAACAGCAACACAGGTAATGTTCGTTGCAGCAGACAATGTTGTTGCTCCCTTGTTCAAGTACATGCCCATGGGCCTTTGCTTCTTTTATCAGTCAGCAAATAACCGACGGGCATAATGGATGGACGATCCTTTGCAATTACTGTTTAAGATGTGGCTGTCCCTTATTATTTACAGAAATAGGAGTTTGGGATGGTGGTGGTTGTTGCTGAGTGGGCTGCTTTTTTACTTGCTTTTGTTCATCTCTGCTCAGTTTTATTTGGGAAAAACAAACGACTCTCTCAAAAACCCCAACAACAGACCAGTGGTGTGTTGTCTGTAATGCACTGTTTTTCTATGACACTTATTCCATCGTCTTATGCACACAGTTCTTTCTCCTTGCCATTAGATGGAAAGATCCTTGAAGCCTGGGACCATATCTTGCAGCTAAATTGCCAGTTCCCAGACCAGTGCCTGGCCCCCAGTGCTCAGCACACAGGAGAGAAAGTGAACATCATGTTTTATGGAACTACCTTTTTTTTTTTTTTTTGGCTAGGCAATGGGGTTAAGTGACTTGCCCAGGGTCACACAGCTAGTAAGTGTTATGTGTCTGAGGCCCGATCTGAACTCAGGTACTCCTGAATTCAGGGCCGATGCTCTATCCACTGCACCACCTAGCTGGCCCCTGGAACTACCTTTCTGAGTAGAGAAGACCTAACCCTGGGATCAGCTACCAAACTGCTATTAATGGACATGAGTCAGGTAATGATTTCAGCCACAATATGCACCATGACAAATATATGAGAAGACAAGAAAAGAGTCCTGACACGAAACTGAGAGGCAGTGGGGCCAGTGGAGAGAGACTCCAAGACCTATCTGGAGTCAAAAAGAGCTGGGTTCCAGTCACGTTTCTGACATCTCTCAGCTATGTGTCCACTGCTCAGTGCCATATATGTGGATAGGATTAATATCACTGTCACCATTACAATTAATGCAGTCCCTCCCTCCTATCTCTGCTACATCTTCAAAATTTAAAGAAAAACTACCCAAACCTAAGAAGACGCTGTTCTTTCCATGTGCATGACCCAGGGGTGGGGAGGCAGGGAATGAAGGAGCCTAATGACAACTCACCAGTACAGAATATATATGCAAACATCGATAAACAGGAGAGAAGTCCACCAATTCTTGAGCCCCGGGCACCTGTGAATAAAATAAGAGGGAAGATTAGCAAGCACACTGACAAAACCGTGGCTGGCAAGAGCCATCGCATTAACATCTAACATTTCATTAGAAATCATTTCCATCTAAACAATGCATCTCCTCCGGTGTACAGCACAGTGTTCTATACAAAATAAGTATTTAATGAATGTTTGCCAATTTTGATCAGTGCTTTTTTTCTTTTCTTTTTTTTTATCTTTGGTAAGGCAATCAGGATTAAGTGACTTGCCCAGGGTCATACAGCTAGTAAGTGTCAAGTGTCTAAGGCAGGATTTGAACTCAGGTCCCCCTGACTCCAAGGCCAGAGCTTTATCCACTGCGCCATCTAGCTGTACCATGTTTGCTAATTTTGACTTGACCATCATGGGCAGCGTCTAGAGCACAGTTCATCCAAATGGAAGGTTTCCCTACATAAATCCACTGAGAGCAAGAGATTTCATTTACCTCTCATCCCCAATCGAACTTTACATCTGCATTCATCACACCCTCTCTCTGCTTTGTACTGTATGTATTCCCATGCAGCTTTTCTTCCTAATGAGGCGATAAGCTTCCTCAGAACAGATGCATATTCTGTTCTTCCTGGTTCTCTAAGAGCCTCCATGTGTCTCTGAGTGCAGAAAGCTTTGTGTTGACTATGCCGAGCTCTAGGACTTCATGGAGCCTCTTGAATGAGATCCATAATCATTTAACAGGAAGAGTGAAGTAAATGAAGAACACCTACGGCTCAAACTACACTAGGATGTGTTGTATGCAGTCGGAGGGACAGCCCAGAGACATGGTCCATTTTGGACCCATGCTATTCGTAGATGATCCACTAAAGAGAGGTCAGAAATGACAGACAGAAGGCTGGATGGCCTTGATGTGCACATACAATGCTCTGCATGATCCCAAGCTTCTCCCAGTAACTAAAGCCCGTGGTATTAACATTTTTTCAGTGATGCTTTATGGTTTCAAGAGACAGAATACCAAAGTCTCCAAAGAATTAAAGTTGAAGGTCAGCCAAAGCACAACAGAGAGGTGCCCAGTGGGCAGAAGTACGTAGCAACCATTACCAACCTCAAATATCACAAGAATTGTAAAGTGTGTTGTCAAAGAGATAGGTGACCAGAAAATGAGGGCCACTCATCTGGCAAGAGGGAGGGACAAATGACAGACAGTGAAGTAAATGAAGGCCTTCTAGGGCACGGCACTTAGGGGACGACAAGGCCAACTGGAGGCCACAGATCCACTGAATTACCAAAGTTGATCTCCAGCTCCCAGAAGGATCTGCTGAGTTCCAGCCCAGGGGGGGTGGGGGGAGGTGCTATGGGGCACCAGATACAAGACTCACATGAGGTAGGGCAAGGCAGCCACCAAAAGGCCTCTGAGGCTCCTTTCCAGCATGACCTGTTTGATTCCGGGGACTCTCAGGTCAGGTGAGTAACAGCCAATGGCGAGGAAAGGGACATGTAAATGAGGATTTAGGCAAAGCCACTGCTGTGACGACCAGAACACTGGTGATCCACAACACATTAATCGCGGAAGGTAAAGCCACAGCTAGTCAACTGGAGTGGAACTAGGCGATTCTGGAAGGGCAAATGATGACTTTGCCTCTGAAGTGCTGATCTTTGCAGGACAGGTCAGAATGATTTTCTGTCTCAACAAAGACAAAGAGAGTCTAGACTCAGAAAACAATAACAAATTAATTTTTTAAAAAAAGAGACAACTTGGCAGTAACACCAAAAGATGAACTTAGACATGGTACTGAAACAAAACAGATGAAAATGTAACTGCACACTAAGAAGCAAGGAGAAACTTATGTTTCCAGGTTAGTCAAGAATGTGCATGACCATGGACAAAAGACAATCCTTTGGCACCCAAAGCCTCAGTTCCACTGCCTGTAAACTGGAAGTACTGGCACGTGACTTGCCAACCTTAAGAAGGATAATAAAACTGAAATGAAATAATCAATGTAAAAATGCTCTGAAGAAAGAAGATTCATTGGACCACAGACTTGGAACAGACCCACTCATTTAATATGACCTCCTCATTTTACAGATAAAGAAACTGAGGACAGTAAAGAGAAGTGCCCAAAGTCACACAGATAACAAGTGGTAGAACCAGAATTTGAATTTAGGTCCTGTGAACCCCAAGTTCAGTTCTCTCTACTAGACCATGCTGCCTCCTGCAATTAAAAGCACTACATAAAGATAAAGTGTTGAATGGTTTCTGGTACTGTTCCCAGCTCTCAAGGCAATGCGCTGGGCTTCTCTACGCTATTAGCTCTAACCAGTCTCACTGGCTCCCGTGGCCTTGGCTGGCATTTCTGTGCAGATGACTCCCAAGCCTGACTACTACTGACATCCAGGCCCAAGTCTCCAACCGCCAACAAGACAGTTCTACTCTGTCCACTCTCTCTTGCTCTCTCTCTTTTTTTTTTTTGGCTAGGCAATGGGGTTAAGTGACTTGTGCAGGGTCACACAGCTAGTAAGTGTTATGTGTCCAAGGCCGGATTTGAACTCAGGTTCTCCTGAATCCAGGGCCAGTGCTCTATCCACTGTGCCACCTTGCTTCCCCACTATCCACTCTCATAGGCACATAAAATTTAACACATCCCATAAATCTTCTTCGAGTTTCACTATTTCCTTCTCTATCATAACTGTTCACTCCTGTTAAAAACCTGGAGTTATTTTCCCCACAAAATCCCGCCTGACTTCTCCACCATGCCTCATCACCCCTAAGATGCCCTCAGCCTTGAATAGAGCCATGAACCTCAAAACCTCCCTCTAAGGAGGGCACGAAGCTCAGCACATCTCTTCATCTCCTCGCTGTCCCCCATTTCTCCATCATGCCCGTTGATTAGAAGTTCCTTAAAGGCAGCAAAACTGTGTTTTTTGGGGGGGAGGGGAGTTAATTTGTATCCCCAGTGCTCAGCACAGCACCCAGCACTTGTCCACCAGTTCTTGGAGAACCTAAGGACACAGCTCATCTCATCTGCTGCCCTGAATTCAAAGACAGCCACAAGTGCATCCTCTCAGATCCTTATTTGTCTTAGTCACCTATTCGCTGTTCTTGCCCTGACCTTTCCAATACAAAGCACACTCATCTGGGAGAGAAGATAGGGTAGCAGACAGAAGCAGCAGGGTAACAGCTGAACAGTTTCAGCTTCTCTCTTTGACTCTCAGCTAAGGTTCTACACCTTTTGGATCCTTAATTTTTTCCCTATGACAAATAACATCTCATACTTTGTTTTCCTTGGCTTTCCTTGCCAGCTTGTACTCACTCTGAGATTTAGCACTTCTCCAAATTAATTTTCAGGGCTGTGCCATACTTTTGTATCCACCCCCCGTGACCCAGCCTTATTGTCATTTCTGTTGTTATTGTTTAGTGAGTTAGTCAGGTCCCACTCTTCCTGATACGATATGGGATTTTCCTGGCAAAGCTAAAGCAGCAGTTTGCCGTTTCCTTCTCCAGTTCATTTTACAGATGAGCAAACTGAGGCAAAAGGGTAAAGTGATTTGCCCAGGGTCACACAACTAGTAAGTGTCTGAGGCCAGATTTGAACTCAAGTCCTCCTGACTGCAGACCCGGCACCCTATGCACTATACCACCCAGATGCCTAAAAATCTAATTTTAGCTAGTGAGTTCTCTGTATATCCACACTGCTATCTTTAGACAATCCAGTTCCTCTCAAGACTCCCTTTGCCATCTTATTGGGATTATTTCTCTTGGTCTCTTCAAAATGTCATTTTGAAGTGCTGAGTCATCCTGGGTTGACTTTCCCTGTGGAATTTCAGTTCCCAGAATTCCACTGCCCATATCATCTTCTTTGGGAATTTATATTTCCAAAATCTAAGGTGAATGTGAAGACGAGCCTTGGTATTCCTTTTCTTTGGGCCATGGCCAGTCATCTTGATCCATGTCTACCCACTTGACTCCCATAATTCTGGAGGACAGAGTGAGACTGATGACTTTGCAAAGCCCTGTCTTGCCTCACTTAAATCTAATTCACCTGCAAGTTATGACATCACCTTCCTGATATCACTGGTCCTCTTGGAAAACAAAGGACCACCACCACCACCACCACCACCACCACCACCTCCACCAACAATAACAACCTTTTCTTTCACACACTCTAAACTGCAGAAAGGCACTTCCTTCCAGAGTCCCAGCAATCATTTCTTCCTCACTGCTGAGACTCAGATCCTGAAGACAATCTCCCTCCTTGGTTCCTCCACCTTTTGAAGGATAATATTATCTCAAAAGCAAGGATATTATAAGCTTTCCTACTTTTGGCCGAGGAAGAGTAGATCAGAAGGTGTCTGGATAACTGAAGCTCCTCATCATGACTCCATAATGCTTTTAGTAACCTAAAATATTTATGAACCATTTCATGAACACATTTATTCAGTCTTTCTGACTGCGACTGAAGAGTACCCCAGTGACAGCATCACTCCACTTATCATAGCCTTGCCGCTTCCCTCAGTTCCTGGACTTCCTCACAGGAGCATACCTTCTTAAAATAAAATTCTCCCACCCCTCGACCCCATCATGGTCTTTTAAGAATAAAGTCTACCACTCCAGAGTGATATTCTAGTTGTAGGTCTCATCCCACCCAAATGTCAGCATGAAATCTTTAGTTCCTCTTACTTGTTACATATAATTTGTACATAAGCTTCCTTCAAAATGAAAAAGGCTACTACAGGGTTCTTAAGTTCAATTCACACTCATAAAGGTTAGCTTGATTAATAAGACAGCAAATTTCCCTTGGACTTCGTGAGGATTCAAAACTCACACCCTCTCCCTTACCCCAGGACGCCGACAGAAACAGTCACACGGAGACAGGCTAAGCTCTCAGTATTCTGCTTTGGAATAATCTAAAGGTAATGACTAAAAGGTTTAGAAGAGGAAAGCCACTTTTTCCCCCAGCCTATTTTCAAGGTAGTTTAAAACCAAACCTCACTTCTCTCCATGGTGTCTAACCACAGCCAGCCCTGTCCAAC